AGTGGCGCACTGTAGCAGTGCGCCACCGGGCCGGCCCCCTAAAAATCATTTTAGTGAGCCTTTAGTTTGGATTTAAAGACTATCAAATAACAAATTTTCTGAAGAAAAAAAGATAGTTTCTGTCAAATCTGGACTGAAAAGGCATCTACCGGACTTTCTCACAAGCGTGGGAAGCTCAGTTCACGCAGAGTCCCCATGTCGGTCCCTGCCCGTGTTGATTCTCTCGACAAAACTTCTGCTACTGCAGCGTGGCATTGGAGTCCATCCTCTCTGTTAATAGAAATGCCTTCTAGGCTCTGAGCAGCCTAGTGCCTAAATCCCAGTGTGTAGCCCAACGCCTGGTATCTGGTTGGCTCTCAATACACATGGAATTAATGGCTGCTGACAATATTTGTAGGGAATGAGGAGAGAGAGATCTGAAGACAAAACCTCCTCCCAAAACAAAGGCTGCCAACACAAGACCATGAGAGAGAAAAGATAAGCTGAAAAACAAGAATCGTGAAATATTTGGAGTAGATGGAACCTTAGATTCTTTTTTTTCAAAATGCTCTTTTTATAGATGAGAAAGCAGCCTAAAGTGGTAAATAATTTGTTACCATGATAGTTACCTGAAGGACAAGAGCCAAACTGCAAGTTTCTGACCCCAGCCTCGTGCTCTTTCTTGCTCATTCATTGCCACTTTCACCTGGCACAGACCTTGACCTCTACGGCAGCGGGATGGAATAATGGAATTAGAATATCAGAGCTGGAAGAGGTGTCTAGAGACCTTATAAGTACTCTTGGGAAAGAAGGCTTCTATGTTTGAAGACTCAAGTTCAATATCGAGGTAATTTTGCAGGTGGAGAGAGCTAAGGAAATGAGGTCTCCTATTCAGCAAGAAGGATTGAATGCATGAATGAAACGTTGGTGTTTTGTGTGGCTATGAAGACACAGTCCTGAGGACCACAATGAACAATCGTGCTTTTTACTAAAGCTGGAAAGTAACAGTTCTGGATACATCTTCTTTCAAAGAGATCTTATTCACTTTTCTGCTCTAAATAATCACTAATGTCATTAATTTGCTCTTACTTTAAAAGCAAGTGGTTTTTGGCTACCCATGGATAGANCTGTGAATGTTATGTAGAATAAAGGAGTTGCTGTGAAAGAGACAGCGAGAGAGAGAGAGAGCAAGCCAGCCCGATCTTTATTAGCCTGAGAACGAAAAGATAACTTTATAATTTTTGGTGGAGGACTCAGGAAGATCAGATTATGCATTGCCATATGAGTCATTCAAAATGGCAACAACATTTTTTTTAAAGCAAATGTGCGCCGTCACACACATTTGCTGTGAGGTGTGTGTGTGTGTAAACATCGCCCTGTGATACATACATTGTCATGTATAGTCTTTTGTACTTTTCATCTCTCTGTCTCTCACACACATGCATACCAGTTCATACTCTAGTATAAATGGAATAGGAGGGTTTCAGATGTTCCCAATGACTTAAAGAATAGAATATCTGGGATGGGATAACTTAGTGACAAGCAGAGCCATTTATAGGTAATTCTTAAGGAAACAATTAATTGCGATGTCCCAAGAGAAACTCCCTCTTTGGATTTTCCTAAACCCTTGCATCTTACCTGGTATCTTTCGGGGGTGAAGTCACATGGAGGCATTGTGGGTTTTGTATGAAGACTGAGTCTGGTTACGGATGTCCAGGGAGCATCTGCTGAAAGTGAAGTGAGTTAGGATCCTCAACTAAGTATGACACAGGTCTCTGTGAAAACCACCTATAGTTACCTGAATCAAGGTCCTCAGGCAATTTCGTTTATTTCTCAGTTTTCTAAAAATCATTTTTTTTTCCTTTTTGTCTTTTTTTTTTTCGTGACCGGCAACGGATCGTAACCCTCAGTGTCACGCCCGTACCGGACCGGGACCNAAAAAAAAAAAGAACTTTGGAATTAAGTGTCTGAACTAGTAAGTAATGGTCGGAACTAATAAGGTGTTTTGTTCCTCTAGTTTTTTGTTTTTCTTTGAGAAAAGAAAGTGCTGGTGGTGTTTGTGTCTTTAATTATAAAATCTCTCCCAATATTTCTCTTCTTTGTGGGTCCCTCCTGATTACCTATTAATTCCACAATTTCTAACCTGTGAATGTTATGTAGAATAAAGGAGTTGCTGTGAAAGAGACAGCGAGAGAGAGAGAGAGAGAGCAAGCCAGCCCGATCTTTATTAGCCTGAGAACGAAAAGATAACTTTATAATTTTTGGTGGAGGACTCAGGAAGGTCAGATTATGCATCGCCATATGAGTCATTCAAAATGGCAACAACATTTTTTTTAAAGCAAATGTGCGCCGTCACA